CTTTAAATATGACGTGTCACTGTGTCAGGACTATACCCGTCTATCCGGCCATCATGTGGACGTTAGACGGGGCAGGTGCTATCAGGTATTACCTATATATAATATTGTGTAAAATAAATATTGTTTGTGAGCTTCATCAAAGATACCCTTAAAAAATATATATATAATATATTCCAGGGGAGACCAACATGCAGCATTTGGTTCGTGTCATATTCGTATGCAGCTCGGGTTTTATTGTAAAAAAAAAAAAAACAATACTTATTATAATGATGAAATACGATAAAATTATAAAATATATTTATTAACATTTATTGGCTCTTAATATTATTGTATTTATCCATCATGTGGATTGTAGACATTTTCATAATGTTGGCCACCTCTGATATACACCGACTATATTAGTGTATATTAACAAATTCAGTCGCTAAGCTAACTAAAGAATTTATATTTACTATAACAATTATTATTTTCTTTTCACTGATTATTAGTTGTCAAAGCAAACATTTTTTTTTTAGGGTCAAAATATTCTAAGTTTTCGCTATACGCTTACGATGATCATAAACGGTTTACCGCGATTGGTCTTCGCAGGGTTGAGTAGTGTGCAAACGATGCTGTGTAATCGTAACTCATCGTCGGTAACACGTAGCAAATTTTCTTGGAAAGATAAAAGCGTCCGATCGTCAGCCAACCATACCAACGTAAGTCATAACACTTCGGCAGACCTTTATTTTGTCTGGCCAGCAAGCATCATTTTTGTTCTTCATATCGTACATTGGCTTAAATCTTCTTCCACTGCAGTTTCTTCGTCAACTATCAGTGGGAAACATCATCGATTTTTGTGCCAACTCATCGAGCGTGGCCAACAATGACGAGCAGATTACCAATACGACGTCTTTTGCTATTAACGGTTTCGGTCGCATAGGTAAATGCGTGCTCCGGTTGGCAATTCAGAACGACATGAACGTGAGTAACATCATAATATCACGTCGGTCGACTTGTATTCATCTGGCCACCGAACRTTTGTTCTTTGTAAATTGTTTTAAATCCTCTCCCCTCGTCGCCCGCAGGTGGTTGCCATCAACGAGCCGAGTGTCAATATCTCGGCGATTGCCAACTCGTTCAAATACGACACTGTGCACGGGATGTTTCCCGGAGTCGTTGACATAAAGGGCGACTCTCTGGACATCAACGGTGATTACAACAATAATAATTATATGTATATGGATAGGATTTTTGTACTCTAAAAATGATGTCTTAAATTGAAAATATACGCTAGTGAAAATCACATTTATTAAAAACAACTCCTGACTGAAATATACGATATTACCGTCTGAAATAATATTTGACATCTCGAATTTGGATAAATTCAATCCTTGCGTAAGTTTTCAAACTTATTAACTATATACCTACTTTCAAACTTTATTCTATTCGAGATTAGAATTTTGTTATGGATCGGAATTTAACGTAAATTGTTTACCTACCTACCGTAGTACATTTTAAATTGTTAAGTAATAAATCAAACAGTCCTATTATATTACTCAGACCGAATATTGCGTTAAGTTAAGATTATAAAAAATGCAATCATTTTTGTTTACAACTTTATTGAATTATGTTATACTTATTAAATAAATGAATAAATATGATTATAAATCAAATGTGAATATAAATGAAATTCGATGTTTTGTTGTTTACTCATGACAGGCAAAATCATACGTGTGTATACTGAAAAAAACCCCGAAAAGATCAAGTGGAAAGAGTTGCCGGTTAATTACGTGATAGACTCGACTGGAAGTTTCACAGAAGTCAGCAAGGCCAAGGTACGTATGCTATGAAATACATTTTACGAGGTCTATATTTTTTATAATATCTGACATTAATATAACATCATGTTGTTTTGTTGTCGTTATTCTAAACTGCAGCTTTATCATACTTACACGGAAAAAAAAAATAGTTACAGTTACCATTTAAATAGTTACCCCAACCATAAACCATGGTAGCTATACAGACTATCATTCAACATAGTTGGGAGACCTAATYGTCTATAGTTGATATCACTGTGTTGGAACAACCATTTTATATGGTTGAAAATGATAGACTTTAAATAGCTACAACAACWTAACGTTATAGTTATTATAACCTAATTATTAGATTGAAAATATTTTTTCTTACCTACTTGCATAGTACAATCAACTGATCAATATAGTTGCTGCAACATATGAGTTTGGTTGTTTAGACCTAATTATTAGATTGGAAGTATTATTTTATATTTACTTGTATGGTACAATYAACTGTTCAATATAGTTGCTGCAACATATGAGTTTGGTTGTTTAGACCTAATTATTAGATAGAAAATATATTTTATTTACATGTTTATTTTAGTTAATACCAAATTTTTAATTTTAGAAAATTCATGTAAATTATAATTTATTTGTACTTAAATAATAGGAAAGTACCTATATAAAAAAATAAATAGGTACCTACAAACAATAAATACATAGATACAAGTAATTTAAAAAGTAGGTTTATTGATACATTAGTTTAAAAAAAACAATAGTAGGTATATAAATATATAATAGTAAGTAATAACATAGTATTAATCAGATATATCTCTAGGGCATAGGACTTGTAGCATTTGCATGTTTGTTTTGCACAGTCACAAAAATAGCAGAGTATAGGTGAGTACGAAACAAATACGTTTCAAGCTTTCACACAGATAGTTTTGAAATTTTATTTTGCATATAAAAATGCATGTTTTTAATCGTTTTGGTGTTTAGAGTATATTTTACACTTTTATACTTATAGAGTTATAGAGACATATTTAACTAAAATCAGTTTTTCTAAACTGACATTTTTATTTCAAAAAATACAGTGGAAATGTTTGGATGAAAAATTATTGATTTTTGACGTATAATATGGTTTTTGACTGTTTGCGGGCACACGTTTTTTCTAGAAGCGCTTGCAAAGGAAAATTATGTTAACTAAACTATGATTAGTATGATTATTATTTATTTATTTAGTGCCGCAAAAAAATTAAGAAAAATTATTATTTTGTTTATTTGGCTATCGTACAAAATATATTTAAAATATGCAATTGTTTTAACTTGTTTTACATGCTATTTATTTCATTAATAATTTTAAATAAAGTCACTAAAAAAATGTTTAAATGCATAAGTGATTGACTATTTAGAGCTTTTTTAGAGCTACAAACAGCGCCGGATTTAGAAGCCCCCGCAAAATGATTACCTTTTATAAAAAATGTTTCTAGTAATATGTTAAGAAATTAATAGCATGACGGGGGAATAACCTATCAGTAATATAATAATTTTAAAGTTTAAGTTTAAAGCATGTATAGATCGACTAAAAATTCTTATATTTCAATCTTATGTGGGCCCTGGGGCCCCCACAACTTCAAATCCGGCCCTGGCTACAAGTCCTCTGCCCTACACTTATCACGACAATAATAATAACAATTATAATAATATCTATATAATAATGTACAACACTATACTATTACTATCATAATATTGTTTGACTTATGGCTGACCTTGTTAAATCGAATATGACATAATATAATATATAAGTATATAACAAAACAATATATAGTGACGGATGATATAATGAAAAACTTTTTTAGAAACACATCGAGGCGGGCGTCAAAAAAGTTATCATCAGCGCTCCGAGTAAAGACGCGCCGATGCTTGTAAAGGGCGTGAACTTCGATCAGTATAGAAAAACAATGTCTGTGGTGTCTAATGCCTCGTGCACTACCAATTGCGCAGCGCCTTTGATACACATTATCAACAACACATTTGGCGTGGAATACTGTCTACTGACGACGGTACACGCCATGACCTCCTCCCAAAACGTTCTGGACACAGTTAAACAAGTGAGTAGCAATTTTGTTATAAAACGATAAGTTTTATCATATTGTTAACTTCTCCCGGGGAAATAACATACATCAGAAGTGGGATTTGATCCGAAGGACGCAGTGTGACGTGTGTTGTGAAGGACCTGGACTTGTTCACCAGAGGTTCTGCGGAAGCGATCGCGTTTGTGCACTCTGGTGATCAGGTGGTGAAGCAACGATCGCGGTGGGCGACGAGGGACCAGCGTCGATCGAGGGCGATCGGAGGACGCAGGATGGTCGAATGTTAACATCAGGTTAACTTGGGGATATAGCGTCATGTGTCTATTACGGAAAAAAAATAATCAGTTGTGATAATCGATGAACAATTGGTACTACCCAATTTTTTGGTTGTATATAATATGACCACCAACCTTTTGGTAATTGTTACAATTTATCTTATGTAAATGGTTTCTATTATAGCAACAGAATAATGTAGTATTAGGTACATTTATTATTAGTTGCAGCTACTGATTAAATGTATTTATAACAAGATAATTTTAGTTTATATAAACAAGCGTTATGTTATCATTACCAAAATAAATGTATTTCTAACAATTGATTTTGTTATCCCCATTATGACAGTTGATACTTACAGCAGTTATTTATTTAATCAGATACAGCAAGAATATTTGGTTGGTTTCAAAGCTCCACGTGGCCAATACTAAAATATATGTATACAGTTAACAATTTTTTTGGTAAACCTTACTATAAACATTGGTATACACGGCTATTTTTTAGTTTGATATGTAGTAAGGATATTTTGGTTAATGTAACATAAATTGTATAAGTTGTGGTAACCAAAGATATAAGTAACAACACATTTTTTAGGTTAATAATAATATAATAAATAATAATATGCATTTATTTAAAAGGGCAATTAAGAGGCCGTCATGGTAGGAAAAAATCGACCGTAAAAACATACTTTTTTATTTCCAATAGTACTCAGGCCTCGTTGATCGTAGAAACATGATTTTAGTATCAAAATAATCACGAGAAGTTGTACTTAAAAATCTTGGAACAGATTTTTGATTTATATTTTCTAACCAATTTTATTTGCATTTRAAGTTTGTAACAAATTTTAATTTTTTTTAAAAATATATAAAATCAGCAAATTGAGGTATCGAAAATCTGTTCCAAGATTTATCGGAAGGTACAGCTATAGCGAATAGCAAAGATAACACCCTTATACTTCCGTCGGGTACAAAAATGAAATTATCCGATAATTATGGTATTGACACTTTTAAAGGTGAAATCGTATGGACTAATAACCATTATAATTGTGAAGAACAAGATTTCGTAGTTTTATATGATGGTCCAGCATCATTAATAACATCGATTACAAACGACAACTTGAATATATTTACATACCTCGTAGAGACGGATAAAATAGTTTTTGCTCTCAAACAAATAAAAAAAACATTTGCGTGTGAAATTCYGGTAATTCAAACTGAACACCCTCAATTACTTATTCTTACAGATACCATGTTTTTAAATCATTTTCAAATAAAATCCATTTCTCCGCAAAACACTGATTTAATCGCTTATGTAGATACGAAATTTGTATATGTAGAAAATTTCTTCAAATCAACAATAACCTCATTATACAATGATT